AAACCAGCGTTCACCGCACTGAGTATGACTTTTCCACATACGAACACAACTCGTCTCGTCATCCACGCCTCATGCACGCCTCATGCCCGCCGTACACACACACTCATATGGAAGGGGCGGTCTCTCCCCCCAACAACAGTGCATTACATCTGTAAAACTTATCATAACTGTGCACATCTTATTCTTATTTGATAACTACTATATCCCTTGGTTACTTGAACACGCTACAATATTATTAACCAGTGTCCTACTTAGTGCAGAAGTAGACGCCTTAAACGTCCCAGAAATTAGACGTTTTAAAAATCGCCGCATATGTTATTGTAATATAATAGTTGAATCACTTGTATGTAAAAAAAAGCGAGGGAACTTGTGTTCTTAACCTCATACGTCACACACACATCACACACACACTTGTCACAACATGCGACTGCTCAAAAATGAAATTATTTCAAACAAAACATGATATTATTCAGATTTGTATTGTAACAATCATTATATTACATCTATTAAAATATTGATATACGAAATATTTGTATTGGAACAGTTTTAGAAGTAGTAATGCTCTAACATATTTCAGCCACTAGGGGGGGCAATGCTATTCCTGTCTAAATCACTTGAACGCGCTGTCTTTAAACAACTCTCCTGTTATCTCAATCAGAACAACCTTCTGGATCCGCACCAGTCTGGTTTCAAGGCAGGTCACTCCACAGAAACTGCTCTCATTGCTGTCACGGAGGAACTGCACACTGCCAAAACTGCATCCCTCTCCTCTGTCATCATCCTGTTGGACCTGTCTGCTGCATTCGACACGGTGAATCATCAGATCCTCCTTCGCACTCTCCAAAAACTTGGAGTTTCAGGCTCTGCACTTTCCCTCCTCACCTCATACCTGAAAGACCGTACCTACAGGGTGACTTGGAGAGGGTCTGAGTCCGACCCTTGTCAATTAACTACGGGGGTCCCTCAGGGCTCTGTTCTTGGTCCCCTCCTCTTCTCCTTGTACACAAACTCGCTCGGATCAGTCATTAGCCCGCATGGTTTTTCTTACCACTGCTACGCTGACGACACCCAATTAATTCTGTCCTTTCCCCGCTCAGAGACCCAGGTTGTCGCGCGCATCTCTGCTTGTCTGGCTGACATCTCTCAGTGGATGTCTGCTCACCACCTCAAGCTCAACCTTGACAAGACTGAGCTGCTCTTCCTCCCGGGAAAATATTGTCCAACTCTTGACCTGACAATCAACATCGGCACCTCAGTTGTTTCCCCGACTCAGACTGCAAGGAATCTGGGTGTGACCCTAGATAACAACCTGTCCTTCACTGCAAACATCGCTGCTACAACCCGCTGCTGCAGATACACGCTTTACAACATCAGGAAGATACGTCCCCAGCTGACTCAGAAAGCGACTCAGGTTCTGGTCCAGGCTCTCGTCATCTCACGCCTAGACTACTGCAACTCCCTCCTGGCTGGTCTACCTGCATGTGCCATCCGACCTCTGCAGCTCATCCAGAATGCAGCGGCTCGTCTGGTCTTCAACCTTCCTAAATTCTCCCACACCACTCCGCTCCTCCGCTCCCTTCACTGGCTTCCGGTAACTGCTAGAATCCACTTCAAGACACTGGTACTTGCTTACCGTGCTGCGAATGGATCTGGCCCTTCCTACATCCAGGACATGGTTAAACCGTACACCCCAGCGCGTGCACTACGCTCTGCATCAGCCAAACGACTCGTTGCGCCCTCGCTGCGAGGGGGACCCAAGTTCCCATCGGCGAAAACACGTGGGTTTGCTATCCTGGCTCCAAGATGGTGGAATGAGCTCCCCATTGACATCAGGACGGCAGATAGCTTGCACATCTTCCGGCGCAAACTGAAAACTCATCTCTTTCGACTCCACTTCGAGCGTTAGAACTATTAACAAAGCACTTTTATACTAATAAAGGACTGGATTACCTAAAGCCAGTTGAGTAGCACTTGAAATGTTTGGCTCTATGAAACCTGATATACTTATATGATTCTGTTTTCTTCAAGGTTGTGTCTTCCTGGTCGAATGTACTTATTGTAAGTCGCTTTGGACAAAAGCGTCAGCTAAATGCAATGTAATGTAATGTAATCTCATTCTATGCACATTGTTTGTCTTATTCCCTTTTACCTGCACTATAGTGTAACTTGCACCATTTTATAGCACTTTCTTTCTTACTTATTTCCTTTATGTCTTGTATTTCATATGTTGCACGGTTTGAGGAGCCTGGTAATTAAGAATTTCAGAGCCAACTATTGATTTATCACAATCGAGCCTTTGAATCTTGATTTAAAAAATAAATAAAAATGGAGATCTAAATTGGTTGCAACACGTAATTTAAAATCCATATTGCCCATGGGAAATGAAGCCATTATTATTCTTCACAAACTCTACAGTGTGATTAATTTCCCACCAATGCGATTATCCATTCACAAGATAAAACAACCACAGAACATGCAGGATTCAAGCTTCACCCCAAAGACCCAGCAGCGCTTCTTTTTAAATGTCTTCACATCAAAAAACGTATGTTGGTTTTGAGGCGTGTGACCTACGTTCAAAATGGCTGTCTCTAAAAGGACATTATTTGCCTTCCTTTCATTTATATTATGTTATAAGGTTCTCTTTCCTGATAAGGTGGTATTTGTTTATGAAAGGTATGTGTTTGTAAGATTAGCTTGAATGTTATCTCACTGTTTTTATGCTAACACTGTGTCAGGGTGTGTGCGTGTTGAGTAATTATCCACATGTTGTTCTAAGGTCAGTTTGAGGATGTAAAGCTCACACACACCTACTTGAACATGCACACACATGCATACCGTGACACACCAACAGAGGGGAAACACACACCGGCAGTAACGCACACAAATTAAATGAGATGTGTGTTATTTAAGATGGAAAGCATGACAGAGTATATGATAATAGTTTAAGGTCTACAGTAAAGAAACTACTTTCTACTGTCACAGGCAGTGGCAGTGGATGAAAACATGGCGTGCGACTATGAGTTCAGCTCCTCTCACCTACCACTTCACCCTCATCGAGTGTGTGTGTGTGTGTGTGTGTGTGTGTGTGTGTGTGTGTGTGTTTGTGGCACGCAGGTAGACTCTCACCTCCATATATAGTCAGTTTGCGGGCACAGGGGGCGTAAAAGCTGTCAATCACAGCGGCCTGTAAAAGCCTCAGCTGTGTATCCTCGCCCACTGGGGTCATCATCGCTGACGGTGAGCGGACGCTGGAAGCAGGTTGCCATGGTTACCGTCTGTCAAGCAGGGACAAGTCAGGGTTTGGTACTGTAATCACAGGATTTGGTGACAGTTCAGGAAGACCTAAAACAGAGATGTTAGAACATAAAGAGGCAGACAAAAGTGATAAAAGATACAAGCATAGTCATGGATGGATCACTGAAGAAGATGACATGTGCCAATGAGTAAGAGAATCAAAGAGACCATAAAATGTATAGAGGGTTGAACAACATCTGCAAATAGACGACAAAGACACACACAACAGATATGAAAAAGAAACCACAAAGAGACACACATATCTATCTATACAAATGAAATACAAAGAGACACAAAATGACAACTAAAAATTACCACAATATCTACAAAGAAACCAAAAACGACTCTAAGAGACCTAACATTACTCAAAAGACAATACAAACAGACACAAAAAACGACGAAAAAGAGAAACATAACAAGTACCAGCAGTGCTGGTGAAGCGGCCAAACAGCTCGCTGCACCATCGCTGCGAGGGGGACCCAAGTTCCCATCAGCAAAAACACGTGGGTTTGCTATCCTGGCTCCAAGATGGTGGAATGAGCTCCCCATTGACATCAGGACAGCAGATAGCTTACACATCTTCCGGCGCAGACTGAAAACTCATCTCTTTCGACTCCACTTCGAGAGATAGCACTATTAACAAAGCACTTATATACTGATAAAGGACTGGCTTATCTAAAGCCAGTTGAGTAGCACTTGAAATGTTTGGCTCTATGAAACCTGATGTACTTATATGATTCTGTTTTCTTCAAGTTTGAATCTTCTTGGTCGAATGCACTTATTGTAAGTCGCTTTGGATAAAAGCGTCAGCTAAATGCAATGTAATGTAAAAAATACTCAAAATTAACATAAAAATACACAATGAAAAGAGAAATGTAAAGAGAAATGTAAGTGAAACAAAATGAGCATAAAAAGACATCAGCCAACTACAAATAGACACAAAATGACTACAAATATTCAATAAATTACACCAGAAAGTCACCAACCACTAAAAAGAGACACAAAACGACTACTTGATGGTGACACAAAATGACTACAGAAAAGGCTGAGGTAAAACTACAATAGTCAAAAATGAACTACCAATAAGACCAAAACAACTACAAAGCGGTAAACTGATAAATTGATTGTCTGTTTGTTGTTGATTGTCCACCATGTACAGCGACCTTGGGTCCCTTGAAAGGCGCTATATAAATATAATTTATTATTATTATTATTAAACAACTTTCAGTCTGTGTCTTGCTCATGTGTAGGAGGGGGGGGGGGGGGGGCACACAACAGATGTGCTCTTGGCTGCAATTCAGATCACATTAAGTAAGCGCTCTAGAATTCTTTGCTCAAGTCAGCATTTCTTATAATAGTTGGGGTCAGAATCCAAAATGTGTTGCATAATAAAAAGACTTAAAGGGCTGTGTGGAAGTGGGGTTGCTAGAGTGAGTGTATAAACTATGGTGGATCATGGACCTCTAGTTTGGAGGAACAGAAGCTAAGCAATGTCTGCCATGTTTATCTGCATTGAAGAGAAAAATCATATTGTATTAGAGGTCGTCAGCCTTCAGATGTACTTTTTCCAAAAAAATAATCACATATCAGCAGGTGATAAATATAAAACTCACATTTCTTCCATCCATTTTGCCTGCAAACACCAAAGAGCAACATTTAAACATGAGCATAAATCATTTAACCTTAAAGAAAACAATGACAAAACATATTTTATATTATTAATGTTTATTTTCAAGGTCAATGACAGACATCATCACATTGTACCATGTGTAGAACAATATTCTTACAATAATAAATACATAATACACCAGTAGAGAAATGACATACAGGCACTAATTACATTAAAGCAGACACTAGCTGTTTTTACACTATCATACAACAGTAGCTGAGCAGCACTCCTTTGCTGGGATGTTCTTTTGATCTTCTAAATTCTGAAGGTGTAATGGAAGATAATCAAGCAAAATAGAGAAGTTCAATGTATATTTAGAGCGTTTACACAGCTAGTGTAAATTACCAGGGATTCCCTGCCTATAAAAGGCAAATTCAAGTCTTTTTTTGTCATCAGCGATTATATAACACAGACGACATGTTTTCTACCTGCTTATTGCATACTGTATTGGAATTTCTATGAGTTTCAGTAGTGTTGATCCCTTAATTCAGGGCTCTTAAATGGATTCCGCAAGCCCTACGTTTTTAGCATCACTAAAAATATACATATAAAAATGCAGGCTAGAACAAGCTGTTGTGAAAACCAGCATTAACACTGAAGCCACAGCGGGTGTGGAACCGTATCATTCTGTATGTGGTGGTGTTGTTGTTGCACCACACTGTTGCTAAGTTGCACCACTCATGTGTGTAACACAGGTATGTGAGAACATCATTCATACAACTATTTTTCTATTATTATAGCATATTTATCTGTAAAGAAATGCACCACTGATCCACAATACGATTACTGTACTTTGATTGCAAATGCATTTTGATTAGACAGGTTGGATAAAAGATTATTATCATGCCTATGATGGTGATGGTTTTTACTGCCGCCAAAGAGGTTATGATTTCAGTTTGGTTTGTTTTTCTGGGTCAGGGAAACTTTTGTGAAACTTGATAGAAGGGTGAAAACATTAGCAAAGGAAAAAGGTAATTCCGTAACATTTTAGAGGTAGATACAAACCCTGAAATGGATACAACACATATAATTGTTTCCAATGGAAACGACCTAAACAGAAGTCTGTGCTTTCCGACTGCTCATGTGGTCTGTTTACAAGTGATAAATAATCTGCTCTAAAATGAATAGGTTCTTCCTTTGCCCACGCTATATCCCTTTCCACAGGTTTCATGGAAGTCAGGCCAGTAATGAATCCATAACATTGGTATAAAAAACAAACTCAACTGAGAAAATGACCTCCTTGGTGGATGTAACTACACATCTATATGGTTGAGTACAGACTTACAGACACCTATCACGCGTAATAGAAGCCATGCATGAATAAAGTGCTCCGTTGCAAACTTGCAACTGTGCCCCGGTCAGAAATCAGTGAAGATGTGAGGCTAATGGAAAGAGAGCCATTTAAAGAACAACCATCAGGAGTGAGTAACACTGCAGGATTTACATTGAACACAAGTAAACAAGTGAATGATGCAAGCATGGCTCTCTGTAATGAGCTTAGAGGAGAAATGTCCTGGTGGTGTAACAGCATGGCTTTGCAATATTTAAAAATGGCGCCCCCATCAGGCAACCTCCAGAATCGTCCTCCACTGGACTGCTAGACAAAGACACTAACTCACTGTAATAAAATAAAACCTGACACATACAGTAACATACACTGTTGTGACAACACACACACCCACTCAATATATACACACACACATACATTTACTATCTGACATAAAAAAGATAACAGATAATACACCTCTAACAGATAGTTGTTCCTGTTTTACAGTATTTACAACGCAGTTACATATGCAGCATTATACAGTGGAGTACAGTGTGTGTGTGTGTGTGTGTGTGTGTGTGTGTGTGTGTGTGTGTGTGTGTGTGTGTGTGAGTGTGAGTGTTTTTGTGTGTGTTTATTTGTGTTCCTCAGACCTCCACTGCACGGTCAGAGCCCAAACCCTGAGCCTGCAGAGCCTCCTCCCTCTTCATCTTGGGCTTCTCTGTCCGAGTGTGCCACACCAACACCTGCAAAACACACAAGAAATTCATACAAAATCCTACTTATAGTTGTGTCAATTTTAGGATAACATTAGTGGCTGTCCTTGTAGTGTGATTTAGATCACTAAACATTTGTATTTATTAGATCAAAACCCCCAAAAGTCTGGTAAAGTAATATCTTTGTGGTTATAGGGGATGTACTAGGATCAGGGTTGGGTTGTAACGGAATACATGTAACGGTGATCAGAATACAAAAATCAAGTAACTGTATTCAGCTCGCGTTACATTTGAAAAACGAGTAATCTGATTACAGTTACTTTGGTAAACCTGAAGTGAATACATTTTGGATTACTTATTGGAATTATTGGTGGAAAGATTTCCTCACAACATTTAATATTCATTACTAAAGGTACAGCCGAATCATCACAGCGCACAAAACGGCGCAGATGGACCAAAAAGGGGAGCGTTTGAAAAAAATGTGCGGGTCCGCTCAGTGAAACAATAACAACGTAACATGGAGGAACAAAAGTCTGCATTTAAATCGTGTGTGTGTGTGTAGAGGTGTGGTTAAACACATCAGCCACACCGCTCTTTAGCCTTTCTAATGATTCTGAAGGTAAACACAGTGAAGGCGGTGCGTGAAAGGCGGTGCGTGAAAGGCGGTGCGTGAAAGGCACTGCGCACTCGTCTTCTCAGAGGCTGAGTTAACCCTCCCGCTGCCTCCTGGTGCTGCAGAGATTTCATGAAGTGAAGGAGGTTTTCCTTCTATAAAACAGCTGCGGGCAGCAAATACTGTGAGAGTCACAGACATGAATACATAGATCAAGGCAGACTGGTGCACACACTCTCCTGTTTTGCCAATCCGGTGCTTAAACAAATATAGCTCTACACCCCTGGCCGTAATGTCCTTAAAATGAAGTCCGAGTTCGACATTTTAATTCATGTCCTGCCAACACTGGCAGGACAGAAGGCGACACGCCAGTTCAAAGCCGTGTCCCTCACTCCTCACATCCCAAGCTGCATCCCCAAAAAGTGTATTATGTTGTTACATCGTTTCAGATGTGATGTTTCAGTTGTGCTCTTGATACGCCATTAAAACAGTAAAAACACATTCAGTTTCCTTTTGCTTTTTGTGTCTCCTGTACACCAAAACATACATCTGTGATGGAAAAAGAAAGTAATCTAAAAGTAATCTGATCACGTTACTTTTTTAAAACACGTAACTGTAACTGTATTCGGATTACTTTCAGAGCCATGTATTCAGTAATCAGTAACTGATTACATTTACAAAGTAACCCTCCCAACCCTGACTAGGATCACTAATATAAAGCCTCAAACTGCTACAGCACATACGGATGGACATACAATTGAAATAAATGTCATCCTCTTTGTAGTGTCCATGTTGTTTCTATATTCTGACTTGAGCTCCTTATCTCTCCAACACACACATAACACACTCGTACTTTAGAGCAGTTGTCTGCTTTGGGCTCCAGCTCGTCCATGGTGACCAGTCCCTGTAGGAAGCTGCTCTCCAGGAAGCCCATCGGTGCTTCTCCGTCGAAACAGGACTCGGGATTGGCCAGGACCAGTTTGAGGGACACGGCGAAGCCCGCCATGTCCATCGGGAAGGGACGACTGGGACGCCAGCCGGTGTGGAAGCGCACCACCTTCAGAGAATCATCAAGAGCACAAATATAATATTCTGTAAAGGTAGTCATTTTCACACAAACTGTTTTTTGTACATTTGTCAGTAAATTCATGGTTTTCTTTAAAGAAGCAGAACACATTGTGATCATTATTTATCTTAGTGTGAATCCACAACATGAAAAGCACCGACCTTTCCTCCCTCGATCACGGGCCTCTCATATTTCATCCCTCCAACCAGCCCCACCGGCCACACGGACACTCGCTCGGTACTCCTCATCTGAAGAAACACAAGAGGAACTTTAATACTGGCACATCGATACGATACGATATACTTTATTGTCCCCGTTAGGAAATGTGTTCTGGACTCCGTCCTGCAGTTCAGCATACATGTACATATACAAACATAGTGGACATTAAGAGACATACACATATCATCAGTCATACACCGTTTGAACAAACACAATACACAGACGCACATACTGACAATGGCGACCTATTGCACTACCCTCATGGCCAACATAACAAATATTGAAAAACCAGACGCTCCCTCCAGCAGATTCTTTAAACATTGGCAACAAACCAAATCAGTTGAGGATCATCAAATTAAACATGGTCCAGCACCCACCTCTTCAAATATCTGCAGGCTGTATGTGTTATCGTCGTCGGCGAAGTAGACCACTCCCTGCTGGTTGTCTCCTCCCGGTTGAGCCCTTCTGTCCTCTCTGAGCCACCGTAGCCCCTCGTTCCTCTGCTCCACTCCACGAGGCTTCAGCCAGCTGGGGTCATTCTGAGGGGGACGGATTCAAAACACTTGTTTGTTCATCATGCCTAAATCAGGAAAAAATACCAAATTGCCAATATGTGTGTTTTAATTCACACTGTTGCGATTTCGTCTCCACCCACCTCCTGCAGTTTGCGGTCCTTGGCGGTGGGCATGTGGAGGTGTGTGTAGGTCAAGCCACTCTTCACCAGGAGGTCGGACACCAGCGGCGTCTTGTGCGGCGAGTCCTCCACCACGATCCAGTGCAGCTGAGGAACATGGAGGAAGGTCTGCGACAGGCGCGTCAGCTCGGCCTTCTGCACCAGCCTGCATAGAAATCAGAGAAGAGGAGTGTTAGTGTGGAAAAGAGAAACAGACAGTAATAGAAGAGGGTGGAGAGGACCTTAATGGTGAGGAGGTAAGGACACCCGGCTACCTTGCGTATGTTGGGGTGATGACAAAGATGGTGGGATTAGTTATAGGTTTCTGTGGTTTCTTGGTAGCCTCCGAGTTCCTCATTTGTTCCTGAAGACGGTGCAGCTCTCCCCGCAGCCGTGATATGGTACGGTCTTTAGGCAAGTCGTGCTCTGAGCAGTCGCAGCGCTGACCTGCAAAGAGTCAGTCACAACAGAAAAGAAAGTTAAAGAACAAAAGTAAAACAGGATTTGTTTTTGCGTTGTCATCTTGGTAATGGAATAACTGCATTATATTTGAGTATTTTTGTCCTTTTTACTAAATATGTTACTTGTGATGATTAAGATAGTCTTCTTAAACCTTTATTAATGGGGAATCAATCTATAAATCAATCCTGGACATAGCCTATAAAAGTCTTGAGTTCACAGCAGACATTTTTACATGTTATTGTAGGAAAAGCAAATGTGTTTTTAATGAAATGAATGCCCTGGTGTTGTGCATACTGGCTTGAATACTGCTATAGGGCACTTTATAGTAGTGATCCATCCACTGTTTTGACAATCTCAAAAATGAAGTTAAAAAAAGGTCAATTGATGCCCCGGCCACACGAGGACGAAAACGGCTAAACGCATAGGATTAACACAAACGCAATCACAAACAAGCTTCCGTCCACACGCAATAGTCATCCGGATAGTGTCTGTCCACACGAGACCGCTCCGTTTAGCTCCAACCGCTGGAGAAGCTGCAGTACATATGCAGGAGCCTGTACGTGGCGCTGTAACTTCCTCCACAAAAGCAGCGAAGAAGCATGGTTGTCATGGTTGCCCTTCTGTTTATTCTCCGCGGTGGGGGCCGAGGGAACCGGGCAGAGTTTTTCGCCAGTCAACGTGTATTAAAGTTTAAATCTTCCGACAAAATTATAAAAGTGCCGGTCAAAGGTCTTCTTTGTTATTTATTGAGCTTTAAAACAAATGAATAACGAATCTATATATTATAATAATAAAATACACGGAGCCTCTCTTTTCCTCCCTCTCTTTGGACAGCGCCAGTGTCTGTTTCATGCAGCAGCTGATCCAGTAATGAGTGACCCGGCCGACAGTAAAAACAAACATATTTATAACTAGTTTAGGTAGTTTGAGAGGTAATTAAAATAGCTAAGGGTGATGATCGGACTTGAAGTGTGTGTTTTACTCCGTTCACCGCCACATCACAGCGGGAGGAGCTGCAGGTGAGCAGAGCTGCGTGTCTCCGTCCTGTCAGATTAGACTTCACTCGCGTTTAGGTCCATATCGAGAGAAAGATAAATAATCTGAATTCAGTGTGCAGTTTACTTTGACGCGGGGGTGAGCAGCAGAGGTGGGGAGAGGCGGGGCTATTGCCTCATCATTATCAGAAAATGATCGTATAGGGCGTACACACGGAGCCGTTGGACCCCCCAGAGCGTTGCGTATGCCGTTCTATCCACCTTGGGACCCGTTATCGTTTACGCAGTCGTTTAGTGCCGTATTCGGTCGTCCTCCTGTGGCCGAACGGTCTATATGACACTAAACAGTAACGCAAACGACCGTTTTCGTCCTCGTGTGGCCGGGGCATGAGACTTCTTTTGAACACTTACCAAGCTGCATCAGAGCATAGACAAGGCCAAGCAGCGAGACCATGAAGTAGAGCACAAACACTGTCTTCAGCTTCAGCTTCATCCTTGTTGCCATGGTGCCCTGATCAGCTGAAAGGATGACAATACAATGATAGTCAACTTTATTGGTAAAGCACCTTTCATACAATTATAGCAGCAGAATTCACAATAACTGAAAATAGGCATAGATAGAATGAACTTGAAAACAGTGATGGAAAATAAAACAGACTTTATTATAGTAAAAGAATAAGATACAATTAAAAAAATATAAAAATATGAATTGAGAAACGCTGAAATGTAATAGACAACAAAAGATGGAAATACAAAAACAGTAAATACAAAATAAAGTATATGAGACATTAAAAACATTACTACGTCGAGGCAGTGGAGATTGTAACTGAATATTTTAAGGTGTTCAGGTGTTTTAAAACTTTCCAAATTTCAGATAGCATTCTCCTCCATTATTAGCCTTAAATATAAAATGTCCAGCTCTAAAATGTAAAAGCTGAGGAGGTTTTTATACGCTGTTTCTAAGGTCGAAAAGATGCTTGATGGTGAACCAGTGTTAGCTAAACTGTTAGCCTGTCATTTTGCTTGGACAGAAAACAGCTCGACTGTCATGTTTACGCACTTACCAGAGGCGGGAAAACGTGGAAGACAGAGTTGAGTTATGAGATTAAAAGTTTATGTCATCTTGGAGAGGTGAGCATCCACTCATTCGGCTACAGCTACATTAGCGCGGACATTTCTATTGCAGTAATGTACCAACAACTTCCGGTTTCAGTGCAACACAGTAAGGAGTCCCCCCATAAGGGGAGCTCATACAATCACAAGTAGTTCCACATTAAGCCTGCAAAATAGCAATACAAAATGTATTTTGACTTAAATTATTATTTTATGTGGCTGCTAATTATTCCGAAACAAAAATAGTTGAATAAAGACTACACATATTGAATCAATAGCCCAGAATCTGAAAGCCCTTACTCCTAGCTAGGCCCCGAACATGTTATGTCATGGCTGCCAGTCTTAATAGTTCCAGACCCTATTTACATGTTGCTCAATTTACCAGATACCATATTACATCTTGGGTAATCCATATAGTATGGCTTTGTATGTCTCCTTCAGATATATTCTGCATTTCGGTTAATAATTAACTCTAATAGCTCTTCTCTTAACTGTTTAATGAGCAAAAGTTGTCCATGGAGTCAATAGCATGTCTCTTGTAAAAATAAGCTACTAATTCCTTAGAATAATGCATGAAAACAGTAAAAGTTGCTACTGTGTTAGTATATTTCTGAAAATACATTTGTTTTTAATAAAGATGAAAGTGTACAGACAATGAAAAAACAAAAGGGGCATCTCGTGAAAAGTCAAACAACTTTCCTTTATTTGTAACATACAAATAAAACACTGACAAGGCAGAATGACTTAGTTTTCCCTTTCATTGTCGTTTATGGACAGGACTGTAACGCTCACTCTCAAACATGGAGTCTTACTTTTTAACATGTTTAAAAAGTGTTTTACGTGTAAAAGGCAAGAAATGAATATGAAGATGGATCCACAACAGCTTATATACACACAGACACAGAGAAAAAACAGAAGGACCTGGGATTTTGTGAGGGTATGTAACCATTTTCTAAAATAAAAATACTCACTGACTTAAAATAAACTGGTTAAGTTCAGGCTCATTTTCCTACTTAAGATATTTTGACTTTAGTTGAACCTTTTTTTTTTCTTCTTTTTTTTTTTAAAAGACAGCCCACCCTATCTGGATTTAATGTTACTGAGCACTGATCGACAGTCAGTTCAAACTTTTTTGTCATTCACTTTCACATTTCCAAGGCATTTCAGCTTTATCCTTTCACTGTAACACATCATTAAACTCCTTAAAATTGTGTTATCACATTCTTCGGATCAGTTTCTTTAAATACTATGGCATGAAACACAAAGAAAAACTGACTCAAGATCAGAGCTGTGGCAAATCACATCCAGCGAATCTGCGGCTGTTAAATAAAACAGATGAGGTTCCATTACGTTTGATTAACCTGAGAGAGACTGTCAGTCGGTTGATTCACTAGCACTATGTACACCATCCTCTTTTTTGTAACCCATGCAGTAAAAAAAATGACTTTATCAGAAGGTAGTCTAAAACAAGCAATATGTTGTTTAATCATTTTTGTTGTTCATGATAAAAACAAGCATGACACACCAATATGTCGTAGTCTGGGAACAACTCGAAACGGAAAATATTTCAGTATCTAAATTTAAGAAAGTGTCCGTTAACTTCACATTTCAGTCTCCCCTGCTTCACACTTTCACCAGGCATTAATCGATAAGAAATCTCAAGTTGAGCCTTGATATGACCCGTTTTAAAAAAGCTTCTCAAAAACTTACCATTTGAAGCCCTTCACACAGCCGGACTAGATAGATCTTTACACCCACAGTAGTGTTAAGATGTACATTTGTACAACTCCAGCCCACAAGTCAAATCTGACTAGTCATGGAATTAAATAGTTTAGTGATGGTTTCTAGATGGGGCTTAAAACTCAGCCGACCAGTATTTAAAACTGTCCAAAAATACCCTGACTGCTTTGTAAACAGATATGAAATCAAACAGATAGAAGCCTTCCTAGATGAACTGCCTATTTGATATCTGAAATCAATAAAGAATCTGAGCAAAAACATTCATTTGCAAATCCAGCATGGACATTTTTAGAGTTGAATCTAGAAAGTAATGGTCAGATTGATCGATAATGGAAACAATTCCACGCCTTAACTTTATACATTTCACACAATTGCTCCAATCTCATTCTTCTAACATGCACTGATGTGAATGGAAGATTTGTAGGAAATATTAAAGAAATGCTAACGACACACTCACAGAAGCAGCATTGCTGTTGATTTATCATGATTACTAACTATTTTAAATGCCGTCATACATACTGATGACAGCGGGCTGGGAAACAGGTGATGACTGAGGAGAAGAAGAGGAATAATGGCCGTTAAAAACTCTTTCAGTGTTCTGAAATTAATTCTATGAGCCAATCTTTGACCCTAACAGCTTCAGAGGCCACGTTAGGAAACGGTGACTTCTACCAATCCTCATCCATGTAAATCAATATGATTTGCTCATGCTAACAAAATATTTAAGAGAAGGGATGGAGGACGGTTTTAGTATTATTTTTTTAATACGGCTAAAAAGGTAGCGTCAACGTCAACTTGTTTATCATCAACACCTCTAGGAAACAGAGTGAACGAAGGGGCGAGCTGGAGTGATGCAAAGTGGAGATTAAAGCAATGAGAACGGAGGCGGAAACATCGTAAAGAAGGAAGGAATTTACAGAAGTGAAGCACAGGACAACACATGGTGGTAAAAGAAAACTCAAAATGAGAGCGATGTCTTGAGCAAAGCAAGTTGAACATCTGAATGAGCATACTGGGATGATATTTGGGATTATTGGGAAGAATGGAATGAAAATGAAGGAAAGGGCAATTTGAGATATTGTGGCATAAATTAAAAAAATTATTAAAAGCATTAACTGAATGGAGAAGCTGAGTGGTGCTAAAAGTGTATTTGTATCTGGTGTAATAGTGGGCAGTTTGCTGCTAGCTGCAGTTCTTTGTTACCTAAACAGATGGTTTACAGTAAAGCATTGTAGATCAACGGTTTTTCTGGGACTCAAATGAGAGCACATCCAGCCTAATCCTTGGACCCTGGTTCAGTGAAAGAAGCCTGTAGGGGTCCCAAATAAATCCTGGGCTGTATAACAGAAACTGACCAACTCTGTATCTGCTTGAAATTCAAGTTTGTTTGCGTGTGGACATGATTTGTTTAGAAAAATGTACTGTAAGATCGGTTTCTGTAATACAGCCTTAGGCCAGAGTTTAAGTAACACTGCAAAATGATTGAAGACAGTACAGCACGTGAGGAGGTGAGGATGGGATTCATAGATTTGTTCGTGATTTGGAACTACTAGTTGTCATTAACTGGGAGAGAATGAGAAAAGCTTGGACTTTAAACCAAGAATAAGAAGGAGAGAAAGGAGCTATGTGTGAAAGCTCACACTGCATACTCCTTTAGTAGCAGGAATACACAACAACAACAACAACATCTCAATCCATAATGCGACAACAATATCTGAAGCCAGACATTGCACCATCGGTTCGTTTTTAACAAACTGAAAACGCTCGCAGAGTAGCAGCTCGAGCTTTCACACACAGCCAATGAAAGTTGCTGGCTTTTAACCAATCGGAGAGAAGGATGGAGCTGATGCGGGATCAGTGGCAGCAGCCCCCGCAGTGCCCGCCCCCGTGGGTGTGTCCCGCCACGGCCTCGCCGTGTTTGGTCCGCCGGCTGAGGATCTCGTAAGAGCAGTCGTCGCCGCAGCAACCGGACATGCTCGGCGAAGTCTCGTCCATATCAAACCTGAATGGGTGGAGTGACAGAGGGGGTCATAAAAGTCCATTTATGAACACATATGGCAGAAAAAGCTGAAGCATACACAATGGGGACACAACGCCATTATCTGCAAACAAAATACATTTAAATAAGAGATTCCCCCGAGTTTTAAAACATTTAGGTATTAGTGAGATATTATACCTTTAACTACAACTAATTCTCACTCACTACCTACAAATAACATTGACTGACTTCATGTTGAACTTTTAACAGTGGGATTAAAGAAGCCTGTAGAATAATGAGCTGTTGAGTAACACTCCTACTCCAACACTGTTGGCAAATATGTTTTAAATAAGGAGAACAATTCAGGTCTTTCTATTATTTTCTATTTTTCCATCTTTTAAAAAACAAGCCTGTGTACTCACTGTAAAGCTTCTCTGAAGAACTGGTATGCTCCATGGTTGTGTTTGAAAACTGTCAACATCACTTTCTTCATCTGTGTACTGGAGGGAGAGAAAGAGGAAACATATTTACCTTTGGTGTAACTTAACTAAAGCTGTGTTTGCATTCAGTTTTGCTCACAAACGCACATTGTCTATGACTAAGAGGTTTAACGACATGTTTTAAAGCATTTCCTTCCTCATACAACATTGGCAAAGCTCCTGACTGAAAATGCTAAAAATACAACTACTGAGACAGATTTAACAATAATAATAATAATAATAATAATAATAATAATAATACATGGGACTTATATAGCGCTTTTCTGGAAACTCAAAGATGCTTAATTTAATACAGATTTAATACACAAAACATCTGCATTTCACACATCATGACTTTAACTATAATGGCGGCAGTTGATTTTACCTGTTAGCGATGAGCTGTAGTATCTGGATGAGGAACTTTCCGAGTCCTTTTCTCCGCACTCTGCTCTCTAACTGCACCTCGTAGCTGGAGAGGAGGCACAAAAAGTTAGACCACAGTGAGCATATGGTAAAAAAGGTGAGAGTCCAGAAGTTAAAATAAATCCACTTTGAAACGTACCAATATAAAACCTCCTCCCCACACTCCACGTCGAATCGGAAGTGAGAGAAGGCCACGGGGGCGGAGTCTCCGTCGCGGGCCAGGAGGTACCACGCCCTCTCGTCGTTCATCTCATCCCTCTTTTCCCGCTCCTTCCAGCCCCACTCGCTCTGCTCGTACCTGCAGAAGTATAGCAAAAGAAAATGGGTCAGCTCAAAATGAAGTAGCCTGGAACTGTAATTTGGCATTTCCCCCCCATCATTAGGCTGCCCTGAAAGGACACGATTTCTAAATGGAATACATTTAGTTTCAACTTACAGAGTGCCATTTGCTAAATTGAATACGGCTCTGGCACAGAGAGATTAATTCAATTTCTCTGCCTCCATCTTAAATGTGTCTGCATTACA